CTCAGCCAGCAAAGTTGGCTGAGGAATTCTGGGAGTTGAAGTCCACAAGTCTTAAAGTTGCCAAGGTTGGAGACCCCTGCCCTAAGGGATAGAGAGAGAGAATAGCAGAAAAATAAAGAATTTGAAAACGCGACATCAGAGAGACAATATGCGTGAGGGGTCCTCGGTGCTCTTTGACCTTTGTTGTCTTCTTGCAGTGTTTCATTACCCAAACTAGGTAACATAATTAGTGCATTGTAATGTTTCAGGGGTGAAATTAAACCACCCCTGCCCGTCGTGACTTTCTTCCAGCCCCACAACCACCAAGTGCTGGTGCTGTACAAGTGAGGAGGGGACGGGGGTGGGAGAGATGAGGGGAGACAATACTTCTCCTCCTGCCAGAGATTCTCCTCACCCCCTCCCCTCTCTGGTCGAGTGGCGTTTGCCATTTGCCGCTTAGCATAAAACCTTTGCTCCCCCCCAAAAAAAAGTGAGATGAGAGAGAGAGAAATGAGAGAGGAGAAAGAGAGAGATGAGATGAGAGAGGCCAAGTAATGTTGACTTGGCCACGCCCACCCACCCAGTCACATGACCACCAAGCCACACCCACAGAGCCGGTAGGAAAAAAATGTGCGTTTCGCCCCTGTAATGTTACCTAGTTTGGGTAATGAAACATCTGCAAGAAAACAATCAAGCACAGAGAGCACCACGGATCCCTCATTCCAACTCTGAGATACAGATATTCTTCTTTATTGATAGGAAATGCATGGCCTGGCTCCCTTTGGGGTTTGGCTGCAAGCTACTGTCTGTCTTGGTTCCAGCCACCACAGGCCCTGTGACTTTGAAAAGATAATCCTGGGTAGGGATGGGATCTGACCGGTATAACTACTGGTTCTGTTGCTCTGCATCGCGTGCGCATGCGCGAGTCGCGCAAGTTGCACGAGTCACCCCGAGTGCAATTTACGACCTGCTGAGCTGCCCGGACATCTGAGCAGCGCTGCGTGCGGGTGCACAGTGGTTGGAAAAGCCCCCTTTTCCTGCTTTTTCAACTGCAGCTGTGCCACGCAAAGCAGCTGTGGTTGAAAAAACAAGAAATAAAGGACAGGTAAGAGCCCGGGCGGATGGCTGGGCCAAAACAGCAGCAGACACAGAACCGGTTCTGTGTTTGCTGCTCTTCAGAGCTACCGGTTCTGTAGAGCCGGACAGAAGCGGTAGAATCCCACCCCTGATCCTGGGGCGACATAGGTCTTAACAAAAACCAGTCTGTTCCACCTGAATTAAAGCTATGTTTCTTTTTTGTTTCTTTTTCCTGTTCCTTCTTTGGGAATTTCTCCTGAAGACCCAGTGGTTACTTTCACGTAGAAGACCGAAGAAATCATTCTTTGAGACCTTTATCAGGAGCTTAATTATCCTCTGTGTTGCAATTGCCATTGTTCTGTTGTCCATTGCGGTATGTGATGGCCATTGGCTTTTTACAAAAGGAAAACTCTTTGGTCTTTGGCATTTCTGTACCCTTGGAAGCAACAGCACCTTGAAATGCACCACTGATCTCTCTGTGACCAACATCAGAGGGATAAGCATAGGAATGACTTTTATAAGAAGTATGGTGTCCTTTGCCGTTGTTCTTGCAATCTTTGGCCTGGAACTTCTCATGATCTCTCAAGTCTGCGAAGATATCAACTCAAGGAGAAAATGGTCCATGGGCTCAGTCCTCATTCTTGTCTCATTTCTACTGTCATCGGCTGGAATGGTGAGCTTCTTAATCCTTCTGAGAGACTACATCACGATCACAAGTTTTACGTTAACCTACTGGTGTGAATTTATTGCAACATTCCTTTTCTTCCTTAATGGAATCAGTGGACTTCACCTTAACAACCTAACTTTTCCATGGAACAGAGTGAGAAAAAATTAAACACAATGAACCAAATATCCTGAGAATATATTGCAGCTCATTAACATTCAAGAAAGACAACAAGAGGGTTGTTTTTGAGGGGAATTGTTTAGTTTGATTTTTTTTGTAGCATAAGGTAAAAGATTTCCAACAACTTGCTACTTTCTAGATGATGTCTCCAAATTAAGTTGATAATGGATGCTAAGTACTGGAAATGGGAAATTATAACCTGTTGGGATTTTAAATAATGCATCTAACCATAGTAATGGAATAGCAAAAAGTAACTTGCTTAATTTAAAACTCAGTTCATAAGCCTCAACATCCTTAATCCGGTTACAATCATTATCTTTTAAGTGTCTCACTGAAATGAATAAGACAACCAATCACATTACTTTTATTTGAGTTGGGTGGGAACCAAATTCCATAAACCAAGTAGAATATGTCTTACTTAATATGTGCTGTGTGAATGGGTTTTGTGCATTTTCATGATTGTGTTCTTCATATCAATAAATTGTATCACCAGAAATATTTGTACTATGCAGGACATAGGGCAGTACCAGCTAGAACTTCTAATAAACACAAATAATTTGCTTTTTCACATTGTCATATATAAACCACGGTTAAAATTTAGGCTTTTATTATATATTCCTTGGCAAATATATGATTTATAAACCAGGCCAGTACTGTGTGCATTTTCTACCAAAGTAAGAACCTTTATTGATGAGAAGCAAGCTATCCAACCAATATATTTTAAAAAGAGGCCTGTGCTATTACAATTTAATGAATGATAGTGGAGAGTCTGCATCTTCCTGAGAGCTAGAAATAATTTTTCATAGAGACAACTAAACTCTCTGTATTTCTAACCAGAGAGTTTGTAACACAAAATGCCCAGTAGTAACTTGGTGTCCTTTGTGTTTATTTCACAATATTTTACTGCAACAATAAGTTTCATAAACTCGGGACAGTTGATACCATTTTTAAAATTGTAAATGTTTGACTCCATCCTTGTGAACTTTCTACTTCTAAATATCCTATATTATTATTAATCCAAATTGTTCAACAACAAAAAAAAGTCAGTAGCCTAAGAAATGCACAGATAAGATATCAAATTGTCTATGGAAACACTGCACTGAACCATCATTTTTGAGAGAACCAGTGGTGATATTTCAATAAAGCTGCATGCTTGATTGAATTCTGGGTTCTCTAATCCTTATTTATATTTGTGTCTTTACAGCTAACTGTAAGACTGTTTAGGAATGCCCTAATTATTCTACTAAGTTTTTTAAAAAAATCTTTGTAGAAGTTTCCAGGCCATTTACTTGAAAATAAAGAGCCAGTATATTGGTAGTCTAGACAAGCTTTCGCAAATCTAGTGGGGTCATCTTAAATGCCTAACCCCAACCAATATCGCATAGACTGCTTTGGGCAATGGGAGTTGTAGTGCAATATACTAAAAAGGACCCCAAGTAGAAAGAGTGCTTAATAATTAACTAGATAGGTTATGATAGAATCAATAGATTCACAATCCATCATATACTTTTATATCTTTACCATGACCAAAAAAAGATACTTCCATTCATTGTCCTTAGGAAGATCTTGGTGTGTCATTCAATTTGCATTTTTATTATTACCTCTTAAGGTTTTGCACAGTTGAAGAACACAATACGTTATACAGTGAAATATCTCCAGATCTTTCTCAGGGTGAGGGATGACCTGCAATTAGCAAATCATATCTATAAATCAAATGGTATGAACTTGAAGAAAGATAGATTTCCTTGATTGGAATTTTGAAGTTTTCATGTTGAGAATGTTTTGTAAAATCTGTAGTATTTCCCCCCAGTTTATGGTATTAATTCTCTATTATTGCCTATCTAGAAGTCTATTACCTTACTGATTTCCCAGCTATCTGGTGAAGAAGTTTGAAATCTTATTGAACAAAAAGAATGTGCTAAAGAACTGAACCCAAATCTCTGTGGACGTATCAAAATGGCTGGCCTTTACTACAACAAAGGTGGAATTCTTCCAGATTTCTTGCATGATATACTGCCAGTCTTTGCTACTGTATTGTTTAATTTTTTGCATAGATTATCCCAACTTTTGCCTGGAATTTCAGCTCATGTTCAGAAGGTGGAACATTCTCTTCTCATGGGCTAAATGAATGAACGTCATCTTTGCTTTTCAAAAATGATGGTTCTGATTAAATTAGGCCTTCAAAACTATCTAGCTGCAGTACATTAGAGATCAGTTTTGAGCTAATGCTCTAAAAGAGTTGTAAACATTAATTACTGTTGACTCCTTTTTTGTTCCATTAAAGGCCATTTGCCAGTAAACGCCAGAGAATGTTTGTTTTGGGTGATGTTTATTGTTAACAATTGTTTCACTAAGTAAGTTATAACATGTAAGCTTTTCTAAACTTTAATAATTATTGTTTTACTAAGTAAGTTGTAACATTGTGGGCTTTTCTAAACTCTTTTCTACAAACTATAAAAGGAAATTGGAAGATGACTAGGATCAGAATGTCAAATGTTCAATAAATTACTTTTTTGAATGGATAATTCTAGTCACTTTTTAAGTGTCACAGCAAATGCATGTGAATATATATGCGCACACATACCTGTACATTCCAGTATTTGCACTAAACGATGAAATGAGAAAAGGAACTGGAAAAGATTCTCATAGAAATCAGAATTTGATCTTTTAAAAACTTTGTAAAATAGGTTTAAGCTGATAATGTATTTGCTGCAAAAACCTACCAAAATTGAAAAGGGGAGGTAACTTAAGAATTTGAAAGAGAGATTCATTAGATAATGTGCAGAAATGAGATGCAATATGTTTGGTCATTAGATAATTAGGATTAAAACACTCCTGAATGTATTTGTCCAAAGTGTGACCTGACTTTTCTCTAAACCTAGAATGACTAGATGATTTTTTAGAAATAAAGCTAAGAGTATAGAAACAACTGCCATATTTTACTGCTTTCAGCTTTTCATGATACGTTGTTGTTGAATGGATGATCCCACAAGCAGGGGCTGACCTTTAGAAAACAATAGTGATCCAAGTATACCACATGGTGGGCATACATACCTTCTAGGGATAAATAATTGCTGGAGGATGCTGACTTTCTTATTCATGCCTCATAGAAATTCAACATCTCTGAAGGGGATGAAGTTGAGGAAGGTTGGAGTAAGATGTGTTATCCATGGATCAAATCCAACCAGGAAATACTTTTTGGACAGTCATTATTTAGCTTGAGCTGGTAAATCATAATAATTCACTCAGTACAGATAGTCCTCAATTTAGAACCACATTAGGGACCAGAAAAGTGATGCACTTATTAAGTGAGGTACCACGTGACTACATCCAATTTCACATCTTTTTGCCATGTCCGTTAAGCGAGATATTACATGATTGCGATTTGGGATCTTCCCTGCCAGATTCCCTACTCATTTTGTTGGAATTCAGCTGGGAAGGTTGTAAGCATCAGTCACACGACCTGAAAATGCTGCAATTGTTGTAAATGTAAGCCAGTTGTCAAATGCTTGAATTGCGATCATGGGGACAGTGACGATTGTAACTGTGACGACTGATTGAGAGTCACTTTTTTCAGTGCGGTCATAACTTCAAACCAATGGTCGTAAGTCAAAGGTAGCTTCAAAATGATCGTGGTAAGCAATACAGACATGTCAAAAATGACTTATGGAATATGGAATATGGACTTATGGAATGGGTATTATTTAGCTCTCTCAGACATTTTTTCTCCAGCAAGTGTACCTATTAAGGATGCATGTTTATATGCACATTCACAAAAAGCGGGGTAGGTGGGGTGGAGAGAAAGAGCACACAGGATGGAAGCATAATCAGAACTAAATTGATGTAGATAATGCTTCTTATCATTAGTGCAAGGTTTGATGCAAGACAAAGCTTAAGAATGACAAGGTTGAATTAAGAAAAAAAAAATTAATTACTCCAATAACTCTGTATTATGATCAGGACGGAGAACCAACTAAACATGCTGGCAAGATATGTGACAGCCCTTCCCCTTTCCTATCTTGGAGTCTGTTTATAGATCTCTCACCTGGGGCTAACAAACAGGTTGCTTTACTTTGAATTTCTGTTCAGGTAGCCAAGTATGCCAACATAAATTTCTAACAACAAAACAACTGTACATGGCATTCCCAGATAACGGTTGATATTAACAGAGCCTAAAGCCACTAATGATCTTGCAACAAAGGCACCAAAGATAGGGGCATCATAAAGATCCAGTGACACAAGAACAGATAGCCAGAGGCCACTCAGGGAGATAAATTTATTTCCCGCCTTTATTATTTCTATAAATATCTTAAGATGATGAACCCACACAATATTCCTTCTTCTATTTTCCTTACAACAACCACCCTGTGAAAAAGGTTAGGCTGAGAGAGGGAGTGTATAACTGCTCAAAGTAATCAAGCTGGCCTTCGTGCTTTAAGAATGGATGGATGGGTGGGTGGGTGGGTGGATGGATAGATGAATGAATGAATGAATGAATGAATGAATGAATGAAGCAGCCACCTCAATGGGATGGCTCTCAAACTTGGCAGCACCCTAAAATGACTAATTTGTGTGATGTCCCCCATGAATAAAACTTAATTATTTCATTGGTGTCACCAGGGTTAACTATACAGTATATAATTTGAGATATAAGGCTACAAAACACAGTTATGCTTGGTATATATAGCAATTCTTTAGCAATTGAGAGCTTGTGCAGGTAATTTGAGGAGAAAAGTTCAGAATCGGTTTTGACAATGTTCTCCTATACAAACTTTTTTTTAAAAAAAAATGTGTTCCCCTCTCTTCTAAATTACTTGAAATCCTCAGTAGAGAGTCTTAGGTCACAGTTGTCAGAGCTATTGACATTACACTTTGGCATTAACCTATGGGAGAATGGGGGTTGATTTATTTTTATGCTTTTATTGAGTGAAACCCCGTGAAAGGCAAGCATACACAAGGGAATTAGTTCTCCCACCCCCAGCATATCCAAGAGCAGGGGATTGGATTAAATGATCTCCAGACATTGTGGGCTATAATCAGGTGGGGGAATCTTAATGATAAAACTGTTCAGCAATGAATCAGCCAGCTTAGACGGAATTTCTCTGCTTACTCTAAATTTTTCATCTGTTCTCCACCATAACATGATAAAAATCTATACTGACAGTTTTCAGCTTAAACTGTTCACACATTATATGTGTGAACTCAACCATAGAAAACCAAAATGGGCAGAATATAGCTGTAGGCTTTGTGTGAGATGTCTAAATGTTCCAGGAACATCCAAGGATCTTGGACAACAACTCCCACCACTTTGTACATACTTGGCTTGAGGTAATAATCTAACACACCCAGAGGCCAGGGCAAGCTGGTTTAGGGGGGAAGAGAGTCCACAAAAGTCATTGTTGGATCTGGATACCCTCAAAAAATAAAGTTGTGGAGGGGTTGTTTTGCATCATATGACCCAGAAATATTATATTTATGACTACTATTAAATACAACAGTACTTTCACTGAAGATACACTTGGCACAGGTAGCGGGTAAACTAGAATCAAATTCAATAATATGAAAACACATGCTTAACTTTCACAATAAGATGATTTCCCAAAGCCACTCAATTGCTCTTACCACAGAACAATACTGGTAACTGTTAATTCAAGCCACTGCCAATATCAATATTCACTGATGCAATTCATCACAGCAAGCAAAAGACTGACATGAACACCTGCACTAGTTTGAACATTGTCTAACCAATGTAAAATAGCTAGAGCTTTGGCAAGTTTGCAGTACCTGTCTATTTTTTTGAAAAATTCTTCCTTGGAGAAAATAGTTTTTCACAAAACAAACAAAAAACAAAAAACCAGGCACTGCAAATGCCACTGATGTGCTAATTATTACAAGGTTTTAAGTAGCTAAGAGAGCACTCTTGAAATAGTTTGATAAGATCATCACAAGATAGGATATAATAAGAAACAGTCAATGGAAGGCAGGAACCCTCCAAATCAGTCCCAAAGGTGCTTTTTCAGGAGGCAACTGGATTTTTCTTGTTTTTTCTTTGAAGGCTTCACTTCTTGGATCAAAGAGAAACAAGAAAAGTCCAGTTGCCTCCTGAAAAAATCACCTTTGGGACAACCATGACCTGAATGACTGAGAATCTCCATAGAGCTCCAAATCAGTGTTTTGCAATCTTAGCAGTTTGATGGTGTGTGAACCAACTCAGAATTTTTGGCTCGCTGCGGAATTCTGAGAATTGAAGTCCATACATCTTCAAGTGGTCAAGGTTGAAAAACACTCTCCAGACCTTCCTAGATTCTATCTATTATCAGTTCAAGTCAGCATGGCTAATGGTCAGAGATGCTGGAAAATCTAGTACCACAGAACTGGGAAGAGGCATTAGATACATAAAGCCACATTAACACTTGGCCAATAAAGAATTTTGTTCTGTTCTGTGGTAGTTAAAATATCAGGTTAGAAGCTGGGAGACTGGGTCCCGCCTTAGGCATAAAACATCTGGGAAACCTTGAGCCATTTTCTCTCTCTTAGCCCCAGAAAGGACAAACCAGTTCCAAAATCTTGCCAAGAAAATTGCAGGAACTTGTCCAGGCATCACCAGGCATCAACACTAGTTGAAGGCGCATACACAGACAGACAGGTATATGCCTGGCACCTCCCAAATTCATTGGAGCTTTGTCAAAGCAATCTCTTGAATTAGGCCCAGAATACAAGAAGAAATCATGTCAGAAGAATGGGCATCTTTCTAATCCAACTGTCTGTCTTAGACGGATTGAAGATACACAGCAATCTCTCACAGTGTGAATTGTTTTTAGCTAGCTTCCAGGTGGCAGCCCCAAGTCCCACAGAGCCACAATCAGCTCTCAAGAGGAAGTTGTAAAGGCCTTTGTGGTAACTGAATTTCCAAAGCTCCTAAACAGCAAACTCAAATGTCCGTATACAACGCCTAGCAAAATTCCTCGATCAATTGTGGGCATGGGTTTGATACCAAAGGGATACCTTTTCTCTCTGCTCAAAAAACGTACCCTTTTATCATGTTCACACAATGCAACATTTTCAAAAGAGATATAACCAGTTTATAAGTCAGAGCCATTTATAAAACGGCAATGTTGTTCAGAATCCTCACTCCAGTAAGAAACCAAACAGGGTAGACACTTTTGAAATGATAGATTCCAAAGAACAAAACCAGCAAGTTGAGAGGGATGAGCCTTCCATTTGGAAATTGCTTTTCACACATCATCTTTCCAAAATAATCTACATGTTGGCAAGGTAAGGCCCATAGCCTAAATCAGTCTCCAGGTAGAGCTAACAACTAGCTTTTAAGTCCTGAACTACAATGCCCGATTAGGTAATGCAAGTTTCTTGTTTCCTCTGAGTTATTAGCATGTTCTTGTCTGCCCTGGAAACTTTTATAGTTTACTCAGAATTGGGTGAGAAGGTTGCCTTTCCTCCTGAGGTCCAGGCTTTGTCAGCTGCAAGACTTGAGTGAGCCCGCTTACTTCATTTGGAAACGAAGAGCTGTGCTGTTTATGAGCACCAAGATGCTTCCTTAAATGCCACTGCCACCATTTTCTGTGAAGCTCCTGCCGGACCTGAACAAAAAAAATTCTGTTTAGTAAGAAGGCTCATGATTTTCTTAAGAGAAAGAGGATGCCCTTCTCTCCCTGTCCATCATAGGGGCTCAACCTTTGCAGTCAATAACAAGGATAAATCAGTCTCAAGCAATATCCTGTCCTGAAGGTTATGTGGTCAACCACTACTTGCCTGCAGAGGAAGGAAGCAAAGCCAAAATGTGGGCAGAGACAATCAATTGTAGTCTTGTGGATATGCAAGTAGAAAAGGGGAAAGGAAGGTTGGAAAGGCCAATAAATGGACAAATGTGGTGAAAGAAACAAGAAGAGTGGGCTGAGGTAACAAGAGAAATGACACTGTATTATAAAGATTTTAAAGACTTGACAACCCAGGATTCATTGGATCATCCTTTCAGAGATAATTTGTTTAAACAGAGATGGAATGATCACAGGTTGGGCAAAAAAAAAAAAAAAGCAGTGGGAATGGGAGGACTTCCAACTTCCTGCTGGCTTCCCCATTGATGTTGCTTGTAAGAAGCTGGTGAGGAGGGTGTATCAGAAGTCATTCCTCCTCTTCCTCCTTGGCTGACCCTTGGAACTGCCTACCACATTTGGGGGGGGGGAGAGGAATAAAGAGATTTGTGGACTGCTAGAAAAACTGCACCTTTGCTTCCCATCCTGTTCCCAAGGGCCCCCTTGCCCCAGGGAGGAAAAGGGCTCGCCCATCAACTGCTAGAGACCCCCAGCTAGCCTTACTTGCCAGCAGGCATCCATTGCTTCCTCACTCCTCCCATATTGCCCACCATTATTAAGAGATTTCAGATTTCAACCTCGGTTCCAAAGCAGCCAATTGCCACTTACTTGTTGGGACTTGCTGCCAGCCAATTGGCTACAAGGACCAGAGGAGGCAAGAAAGAGGGCGGGGATATGGCCCTCCCATCTTTCCTTGCACCACACAACCTGCAGGTTTCTGGGAAGCCTAGACAGGAGGTGTGGTGGCACTGAAGTGGTGTAGCTTTCCCGAATGTCATTCTTACAGGAGTCCTGGGTCCTGCCTTTTGTCAGTTAGTCCATTTCGGTTACCTTGGAAGCCCAATAGCTTCCAATTCCACCCAAGTGAACGAGAGTTTTAGTAGTATTTAGTATATATCCAGAAAAAAGATTGCTAGGTAGGACACATCAGGGAACAGACACCAGTAAAATTACTGGAACTTTCCTTTACTTATTTAGGGTATAAAAAATATTTAAAACTTTAAAAAGTTTCTCTCTCCCTTCATCTTATACCCAGGAGCATCAATGCAGGGCAATATTGAGTTTCTTTCCAACCTCTTTTGATTTTCTGGTCTGATCTTTTTACCATGGTTGTTACCTTTCAAAGCTACCTCTGTATTCTTCTACATTTGTCTCCTAAAACCTCATTAGTCTGTTTCTTCATGTTTTACACAACACTCTTTCTCCCTCCAGACATACTCAGAAAAAAAAACACCAAAGATTAAGACTATTCTGGATGCTGAAAGGCAAAGCTGAAGTCTTCTAGGAAGATCTCTTAAGAACTTTCCCTAGTCCCAATGTTCTTCTTTTCATCCCTGCTTCTCTTAGGTACTTTTGTAAGGCACGTTACCTAGTAAGACAGTCTGGCAATTCAACCAAACTGATCCAAGTTCTGCTTTTAGGAGGGGTATGAGGCAAGAACCCCAGCAAAGGAGAAAACAAAGTGTCCCCAAGCCCCCCCCCCCCCCTCAGAATTTCAGGGATGGTTTGACCATTTGGTCATTAAGAGCCGTGGTGGCACAGTGATTAGAATGCAGTATTGCAGGCTAATTCTGCCAACTGCCAGCAGTTCGATCCTGACTGACTCAATATGCTGACTCTGTAAACCGCTTAGAGAGGGCTGTAAAGCTCTATGGAGTGGTATATAAGTCTAAGTGCTATTGCTATTTCTCTTGTGCTGTAGACGGCTAGAATTAAATCAGCAAAGCTACCCAGCCCTCTCTGAGAACATAGCTGCTTTCAAAGGCAGGCAGAAGCCTCTGTAGAAACCCCCACAGCTCCTCCCTGGATTCTCATCTTCCTAATCTGAAAGATTGGTACAGAAATAATCCCCCACTCCACCCCAATTTCTTCCTTGAGAGACACACCAGTCAGCAAGGGAGATGCTTGTACAGCAAAAGCTGGGGCAAAATTCCATATCCCAATCACAGTTACTGTACCTAAACATTCTTCTGGTTTGAGAAAAAAAAGTTTCTTTCCCCATCAACCAGAATGACAATGATTTTTCAAGCGTTTTAAGGAGGGGCAGCACAAGAAAGGAGAAAAGAAAAGAGAGGGAGCCAAACTGGTACAAGAGTCCCTCCATCCAATTTGCAACTGGAAGAAAGGACAGATCTGAATAATAATAATAATAATAATAATAATAATAATAATAATAATAATAATAATAATAATAATAATAATAATCAGTAGCTTGCACTGGAATCCATTAAGAAAGATGATATTTGAAAAGGCATTAGCTACATATTCCTAATGTGGTCCTAAAGAGCAGTGGTGTCACTTATTTTTTTTCAACTAGAACAAGAACTCATCAAATTTGCAGATCACACAAAACACATTTTTAAAAAAGCACCCACAAAAAGTCCTGAACCTTGCTGGGTTATCTGGAATTTTGAAAACATCTTAGGGCATTTTCATAAAACGACTTTGGGTGGTGGGAGCAAGAGTAACTCTATGACCAAGAATAAACTGATCGCTCCATTAACCACCACCTCTACTCCCTTAAGATCATTATCATTTCCATTTATTTCTTTTTATTGGGCAAGTGGATTCTCCCTATCCCCAGCTGGTTTTATTTTCTAAAGCTGTTTTGGGATCTGTGTGGGACTTGAAAATAAAATAAAGCTGATGTTTGAGATAACACTCCAGTTTGCAATATACTAGCCTCCCATTTATTCTGTTTATTAGAAGGCTCAAAATCAATAATATAAAAATTAGGTGAAATATGCAGCCCAAGAGGCATGCTGATAGCAGTAGCAATAGCACTTAGACTTATATACCACTTCGCACTGCTTTACAGCCCTCTCTAAGCAATTTACAGAGTCAGCATATTGCCCCCTACAATCTGAGTCCTCAGTTTACCAACCTCGGAAGGATGGAAGGCTGAGTCAACCTTGAGCCTGGTGAGATTCAAAGTGCCAAATTTCAGTCAGCCAGCAGTCAGCAGAAGTAGCCTGCGCTACTGCATTCCAACCACTGCGCCAACACAGTTCTTGATGCCCATGGATACCATGTTGGAAACCCACTATTTAATGCCATGAGTTAACAAGGACTTAAACTAGATTCATAAGGATTCCTTGCTCCTATTTTAAAAGTTAGATGCTGCTATTATGTGGATTAATAGCTTTGTTGCATGTTCTCCAGTTAATGAGAATGACTAACAGATAAGAATAAAATGTTCAAAACTACATAGGGCGAAACTAGCTATTTGTTGTAATGGCTCTACATTACATCTATCTCAGTATCAGAAATAGCATGCTCCTGAGTGCTGATTGATGGCGAACTTATGGTGAAAAGTGCTATTGTTCTCCAGCCCTACATTTGGTGGGCTGCCATGGGAAACAGGATGCTGGGTTAGACAAACGTTTGATCTTATCCAGCAGGATTCATGACTAAATCTCAGTCCATGGGAAGCTCACCTCTCCATTAAGAAAACAGTAAAGCACAGCCACAGCCAAACCCTGAAACAAAACAAGCAAACTATTCGTTATGAAATACACAATAGCAAATGGCAGACTGTCATTCCAGAAGGAAGATGGAACATCATTATTATTTTTTTAATCACACTGAAATGTGTTGCACGTGGTGAATGGAGATTACTTTGCAGCTTCGATGGTTCCAAAGACCAAGGCTGAAGATGGGATGCTTACATTAGGCGGAACCTGCTGGTGGTTTGCAGCATCCTACATGTTCTATTTACAAAATGCCTTTACCAGTTATGCTGCTAGCCACGTAAGGAGCTTTGAAACAAAAACAGCATCAAATAGTCCAATGCAGAGGAGTTAAACCAGTACTAACCTGAGTGTGAACTTATAAACACAGTAGGCCAACCTCCCCAACATACGCCATTCTAGAGGTTGTAACCCTAACACATTTAAGGGTTACCAGCTTGGAGAAAGTGGCTTCACTACTTTTGTGCTTACGTGCATTCTCTGAGATCCTAATTTAAGTACTTAAGGTCTACTTTCATTTTAAATCATATTTTATTCCAATTTCGTTTTAAACTGTATTTTTATCCAACTCCATTTTAAACTGTGTTTTTTTTAAATCCGATTTTAGGAATAATTGGTGTCTGGAACTCTGCACTTCGATATGGCCCAAGGGCTAATTAATAAAGTAAAACTAACTAAATATCGAAGGAGTTTTTCCTCAGAGGAACTATACCCCTCTCACCTGGAAAGAACCTAGGGCTTTTTCAAACAGAGCTTGAACTTCCATGGTGCCATTTGTGGTATCAAAAGGGAAAAAAGCAAAAACAATGTAATGGATTCCAAAGAGAGGGATGAGCACTAGTGTTGATTTAGCAAGCCTCCTAGGAGCAAGGAAAGAGAGAATCACAATGACAATCACAACAACAACAATACTAATACTAATAATAGAGGGTCAGTTTAATGTTGACTTTCACATACAGACAGGTCTGTGCTAGCTGGGATCATCTCAATGTGTTACATTGCTACTTAGAAGTTATGGAAACCTTGTCTTCCCTGAATAACCTCTTTTCCCGTTTCCCCCAAAGATGTTGACATAATGGGTTCATCCCCTCCAACAGTGTTATGATGCATAGTTGACTTTTAACCTTCTAGCAAGAGTTGAGGTTCTCTGTTACATAGCTAGAAGTCTGCATCCTGTTCTATTCTCTGCTCCTGAGCATAAAAACAGGTGCCTTAAATAAAAACATAAATAGGGTCAGCACCCTTCACTGTAATTGGGCAATTATCCTTGAGGCAGCTTCCTTGACAGATCCATGACATGCAAACAAAGAAAACCTTCACCACCTTGTTATTTTGTTTGCTTTTGCGTTTATTTGTGAGGCTGGTTAAAGAAGCCTCCTTACTTGTATTGGCTGGAGTCCTTGCCTCTTCCATCCGGCCATCGCAGTTTGTTCATCAAAATCCTTACAATATTAACAAATAGAATGAAATTGATCTACAAAACAAAGAAGCACAAGTGAGAAGGGAGTAGTTCTACGCTCGCCCCATTTCTCCACTAGCATTTTATTACATCTTCTAGGATCACCCAGCCATTGTTGAGCTTACAAGCTTTATCCCAGGTAACACACTAATAATCTCAGCACCACAATAGACATTGCTATAACCTGGTTCTGGGGAAATAGCTGTGAAGTAGACTTACTGCAATAGAAGCCATCACGGGGCCTTGAATGAGCCACAGGGCATATGTAAGATGCATATCCCAGCACCTGTAAAAACAACCAACAAACAAACCTGCAATTGACGAATGAATAAAAGGTTCTCGTTTAGAAAAAACGGTGGATGAACATCCTAGAAAACTCCGTCCTGAAAGAAATATTTCATGGAAGAATGTAACCATCAGGTATTTCTTACCATCTATCACCTTATAGAAATTTACAGCAGACACAAAAAGGTAAATTACCTGTCCTGATTTGATAAAAACTTAAGCTAAAATGGCTCTTGGGAATAAAAAAAACTCTGAAGGACTTGTCAAAATGCAGTTTCTTTTATTTAATTTGCTATGTTCGATTCATTTCCCAATTTCTGAACTGGAATGCAGTCTCCTTTGAATCCGAGCATTGCAAAACCTCGCCTTATTGGATGGAAAATTCTTCAAATCAAAAAACTTAATGGCATGCATTTCAGTACACGGATCATGTTTTAAGAGCCAGTTAAGTGTGGCAGTTAAGGCATCTGGTGGAAGACAATGAGGTCTTGTCTCACAATTTTTAGGCACCAAGCCAGCTGGGTAAACCTGGGCCAGTCCCTCTCACATAGTTCTAGGAAGGAGGCAAAAGGCAAATCACTTCTGAAAAACCTTGCCAAGAAAAGTGTAGGGACTTGTCCTGGAGTCTGCACTGATGCGAAGGCACAAAGCAAATGTATAAATCATGTTTTAAGGGAACTGCCATTTTTGCTAAAAGAGAATAAAATAACTGTGGTTTTTTTTTAAACGTATTTTTATTTTATTGTCCTAAGCAATGCAAATAATAACTGCTACACCTGTGATTATACTGCAAAAAGCTCTTGAAAGTGTCATGTTCTCAGAATAGTTCTAAGTTACTATAATCAACTCTGTATAGTCTGTTGATTCAGATGAGATCTCCTGTTCGCCCAGAGAGCAAAATAAGCCATTGAGTGTGTTGCCGAATTATGCTGCGTGTTGTCAGGCCAAAATACGTGCCATGCTATCATTTAATGCAGGGGTGTCCAACCTTGACAACTTTAAGACTTGTGGACTTCAACTCCCAGAATTCCTCAGCCAGCAAAGCTGGCTGAGGAATTCTGGGAGTTGAAGTCCACAAGTCTTAAAGTTGCCAAGGTTGGACACCCCTGATTTAATGTATTGCTTCCTCAAAAAACCCAGACTAAAAATCTGAGTTGATTTGTTTGGCAACAAGAAGACAGGATCTCGGCATCTGATGAAATGCTAAATAATGTTGAATCTGTTTTATCTCAGCAAGAAGGATCCAAATGGAGCCAAACAGCCCCAGGTTTCACTGCACATTGTTGTTGTTCCTGGAAAGCTAGATTCATCCGAACAGAGGATAGGATCACTATCACTAAAATAATCTTGCTATTTTACTTCGTTAATAAAAATAAGTTCCAGGACAAGTAGCTAGCAGCAGAAAAGATATCTATCTCCCTGTGGTATCTATTCAACAGATAGGAAAATGCTTTGAAACCAGATTAACTGGAACATTATCCATCATTAAGAGGGACAGGCTTTTTGTAAAAGGTGAATTTCTTAAATGAGAATTCTAGGGATTTAGACAAATGTTGTAGACTTGTTGTAAGCTGCCCAGAGTTGCCTTGAACTGTGAGGTGCACAGCATATTAATTTCATAATTAATAAATAAATAAAATAAATGTGCACTTGCCCTATCCAACCATTAAGGAGCCCACTTCTTTTTATCTCTTTTTTCTTTTCTTTTCTTTTTTTTCCTACCTTCTTTCCTTCCTCTTTCTTTCTTTCTTTCTTTTTTCTTTCTTTCTTTCTTTCTTTCTTTCTTTCTTTCTTTCTTTCTTTCTTTCTTTCTTTCTTTCTTTCTTTCTTTCATCAGTCTGCATATTCCCACTGCATTTCTACAAAATGCTCACTCCTTTCTACAAAAGTATTTTTACAAGGACAGTTTGGCATAACTGTGCAAAGCCCATGCTTCTCCTCCATCTCACAAAGCACTCCTGTTTGTTTCCACAATAATTATCAAACTGCCATGCTCTGAAGCCATCAGAGAAAAGAAGCAGATTTGATCCTCAGGAAATGGAATATAAGAGCTACTTTTTAAAATTAAGGTCTCTTCTCTCTAACCAAATTGCAGAATTTCTTTCTTTTCTCAGAATCTCTGAGCACTTGACAAAAAAAATAATAAGATTTTAAACCAATTACTACTCTTTTTGTGGAGTGACAAGACAACATGAATACATAATTTGCTGTGTTTACCCTAAGCCATAATATGTGATTTGGCAAACCAACATGAACCCTGCCATTTTATAATTTAAAAAGAGTTCTGATGCAAAACATTCAAACCCTGAAGCTAATTCTAGGTACCACAAAATAGATGGTTTCAAATATTCCAGGAGGGATCCAGAAGCTGTTCTGGACAAATTCAAAACGGGACTTATTTTGAGGATAGATCCCTTCCAGAATATTCAGAGCAATTTCTTTCAGGATCAGAACATTTTGTGATGGCACATTTTGCACACTTGCGATACTTTAATACTTTAGATACTTTAGGTAGTAATAATTTTCTGCCTCATTCATTAAATCACAGTTGGAACCAACCATATCTTAGCATGATTTGCAAACAGACTGCTGAGTTTGAAAAATGTGCTTACCCAGCATTTTCATGGAATAGTCTGGCTATGACCCATGAAATTACGAACAACTTAGGAGCACCTGCAGCAGAGAAAACAATTTGTGGTTAGTGCCTACTCATAATATAGAAGAAAAGCTAGATTAGGTTAGCTGAACATTTTGAATAATAATAACAAACTCTAATGACCTTATGAAAAGGAAAAATGGATCTGTCTAAAAATAAAAAAAGGATGGATCCAACACACCTAGCAAAAAGCTGCAGCGCACAGAAATACGTAACCTTTCAAAAATATCCTTACCCATGAAGACAATACCCCTGCTTTCACAACTGACTGTTGCACAAACAATAAGGGTGATGAGTGAAGGTGATGGGAATTACAATCCAACATTCCTGTACAGCATCATATTTGGAGGGAATGGTGTACACCTGTTTGCAGGTTCATATTCAGTTATATCAATGGCAAGAGCTTAGGCATAAATCTCATTTTTTTCTCAAGCACAGGAAAAGAGATGGAAGAGGAGAAAAAAGTCTCCCGGATAAAGAAGAAGAGCAAAGAGGTGAAGAAGAGGAACAAACCAGAAGCAAATTAAGAAGGAAAAAAACATTATCCCAAGGCAACATAGGGGAGAGGGAAACTAAGAGATCACTGCCACAAAGTAGGCAAGGGAAGTAAGTTGAAGGTCTGCAATGGATCACTGAACATCCCGAAACAACATGCTTGTCTGGTAATTATGTAGATGCTTACCCCATCCCAGAGCTACAAACCACCAGAAGAACTTTCTGTCGGAGAAGAAAGAAATGGCCAGCAGGCTGTGGAGATAAATCCCTTCTACAAGAAGCCAACTATAATTTGCCATGATGCAGAAGTTAACAAAAGCTATGATCGTCTTGCACCTGCCCTGAAGAGGAAACAAGAAACATTATGAATACGGTATGTTTTATTTATTTTAGTTTTATTTCCTTTCCAGAGATCCTTTGGTCCACTGCGCTTTATTCATCAGTGGTCTATCAGTTCCTTGACCTCAATACCTTAGAACAGGGATCTTCAAACTTGACAGCTTTAAGACTCGTGGACTTCAACTCCGAGAATCCCTCCTCCAGTCATGTTAGCTCAGGAATTCTGGGAGTGGAAGTCCACAAGTCTTAAACTTGCCAAGTTTGAAGACCCTTGTCTTAGAAGAACCAAGCTAGATCAGACCATCTGCACTGGCATTCTGTTATCATAGGCGAAGCATAAAAGCAAGTCATAAATCTACTGAAATATGGAAACCACCACCAGAGTGTTCCAGAGGTCCTCATACTGGATGAATATTAAACTGTATACTTTTCAGTTCCTTTCCCAAGAGCCCTTAATGTGGGATTTTTATTTTTACACCAGCTATGGGTTAGGTAGCATTTTCATCAGGTATCAATCCCAGAATCCTTTGAGTAGTAAAATTGCTTCGGCTTCCGTTTCTTCTAAAGATAATCAAGATTATTAGACCAATTCCTGCGAACATCTGATCTCTTGCAGGGGACAGTATCTTGAGCAAGTACTATTAATCTTTCTACTTTAGCTTTTCTAATCTAGATGACACATATCACTTTCTTCAGTCTGATATCAACTAGGAATTAATCAGAATTGTATACAAATATGTTTGCTCTGTTTCTCCTCTGACCTTATATGACTAATTAATCCATGCTGATCATTTTAACCAAGTTGTTACGGTCACAAAAATCAAAGGCAAGTTAAACACAACTTGTGCCACTTTAAACACTAACAACTTCTCAAATTGCAACTTATTTAAACAAGAGAAAGGTACCAGAATAAGCAATGTGGCAATAACTTTCTCTGCATTTAAAAGAGATAAAAGTGATTTCCCCCCCAAAAAAATTTTTTCATTCTCAAGTAGCTTTTTGATGCTTTAATAAACGGGGTGGCTGTATGTTTCTACTTTCTTACTGTGTGTAATTCACAATAGACAGCATCATCCGTATCCTCTGACAGTATAGGATCTTTGATAAAGTTTGCAGTCACCCTTAAGATGAAAGAAGCAAAAAGCTGGATGTGGATGTAATTCCTTGTACAGCGGAGTCTCCTATTCAAAAGGGGAAAAACAAAAAGCATCATGCAGGATTTAAAATGGGTATTCTCATCAGCCACACGAAGATTTAGTGAAGAGAGATCATTAATATTGTTTATACTGCTTGGAATAATTTGCTTTAATCTGCAGCAGGCTTTCCAACATCTCAGCCAGGCATCTTCCCAGTCTTCTTGCCTGAACGAATGGCACTGGGGACAACATGCAAGGGAGAACATATTGCTTAGAACCCAATTATTTGCAAAGAAGAGCAAATTGCCACTCTAGGTTAATATTTAATGTTGATTAAACATTCAATCGATATGCTGATTAAATTAAAAATGTTGATTTTCAGTGCTGGACACCTCCTAGAATCATTGTATCAGGCAGCCATATAAAGCTACTTAATTGAATTAAAAAATTTATGGATCTATCAGATGGCTTATTTCCGAGGGTAAAAACTCAAAGAGTTCAGCTTGACTTGGGTGAGTTTACAGACACATACATATAGGTTTCCTGGCTGAAGTAGTTTGCCACTGCCTACTTTCAGGAGTTTTTTTTTCAAAAATCAATTTTGCAGTTTAACCTAAAGCTGGTTAAACTGGAATTTTCTGGTAGTCTCACAGCCAAGTACTCTTTGAATCTCAAATCTTTTTGGGCCATATGAACTCTGCTAAATCCTGCAACCTAGTTGGGCTTCTGTATGGTAAAACTGATAACTCTAAAATACGTTAATTTCTTGCACAAGGGAAACATGGTATAAAAATACAAAATACATGTAACAAATTCAATGCGGTGTCATACGATCAAGTAAAAACAAATGAAGCAGTAGGGTGGCACATTCTGAACATATCATGAAAAAGTACTGTCAGAACTGTGATTCTCATAATTTCTCCACTCCCAATCCCACCAATAAATGGAACAGGATTCAAAGTATCTCAATGTTTCACCTCATTTAATACACAGAGACATAGTCAGGTGGGTCATTACAAGATAAACTAAGGAAAGGGAAGAAACATATGGATAATTCTTCCTCACCGAAAAGAAGCTAAAATGCCCAGGGCTGCTGCCAGAGCTATGAGAGAGATGCTGCTTCCAACAATATACACGGTCTCCAATTTCATTAGATAAGATACCTGTAAGAAGACATCCAAGGATAATTTTTTTCAGGTAGGAGTTGTGTTCATACAGGAAGCCCTTCAATGTTACTTTTCAAAAAAAAAAAAAAAACACATAGTAATGTATCTTTTATTTGCAATAAACAGCATGAATTGAGGCAACTGCCTTTCTCTGAAAATCCCAGTTATTTCTCTGGTTAGAATTCAGCCTGATTGAAAACATGGAAGGGACAAAACAAAGAAATATCCCCAGCCAGGTGTGTAATTGCTTTTAGCGTATGTAAATCAGAAGTAGAATATAGATACTACACTAGACCAGAATTTGCTTTATTTGGGGCTCGGTTTGATGTGTGAACATGGCCATTATGATTGGTAAGCCAAGGTTTACAATTTAGAGTTATATGTAAGCTCAGTCACTATGGCTTTTTTGACAGACCATGGCTAATCATGGTCTAGCAGCATGGGTGATCTTCATGAGTACCTATGTGATTGCAGTAGGAATCAATGATCTGAGGCATGTTGCGTTGCCTTGTTCACATGACTTTCGAAGACAACTCCGAGTTCACTTAATTCAACAACATATATATGATCCTGCCATTCCATTTTGAAAGGACATGCACTAAAGAGGCTGTTGAACTGAGCAGTACTACATTAGATCAGTAGGTGTTGCTATTTACAATTATTTTTCTTACATGCAGCAACTCTATCATCTCTGAATCCAAGTAACCAAGCAGAAGAAATAAGCATTTATAGAATAAAGATGAAAGTAACCCAAAAATACATTTTCTGTAATGATAATAAAATGTCTTTGTTCCTTGGATTTTATATCTCACCTTTCTACATCTATTTAAATGGAACATAAAATGCTTAGTGCAATTACAAAAGAACTACATTGCAAAATAAAAAGAATATCATAAAGCAAAGTCCACTGAGACTAAAAGAGCCCATTAAATGACTGCAAAAATAAAACTCTCTCGTGCATGCTTAAAAGTGGGCAAGGAAACAAACGATGATGACATCCCACTGTTTGTATATTGCACCTTCTGATCTAAGTCTGTTGGCAGCATACTCAAGTGAGTTAAATTTTCAGGCAGTCTGCCAGTTCAGCCCCTTGTGGAAGCCACTGTAGTAATCTATTCTGTAATTAAGTAGAGTGTCAAAAACAAAGGCTTGGTCCAATTCTTCCTTCAAAGGGAATAATTTGCTAACCAGACAAAAAAGAGAATATGTATTCCTGCCCTTCCTGGGTGACCTACCTATCTATTTTGCACATCCATGTTTCAAATGGGTAGGTTTAGGAAAGTTGAATCCTTCTTCAAAGTTTGCCCATGCCACAGATATATGGATGCTCTGTGAATTCTTAAATTGGTGGGTTTCGACCTGAATCAGTCAGTTTGGCACTCTATTTATTCCTCATCGAACCTAGTAGTCCTTCAGTGCGCCAAGAGAAAATCCAGTTCCATGTGGTCAAATGATTGCAATTGTATCAGCAAAAAAATATTTCCGAGATATGGGACACTTCCAGACAAGTAGTCTTTCTGATTTACCAATCCTTCTGAATCCAGTTTAAAATGCACCTACTGAATGAGATGGCTTGAAACTATTTTCAGACCTATACAGACTATTAGATACAAGGGCAGTATAGAGTTCACAGTGAATCTCCCATCAATTACTGCTTGCTCTTTTGTCCAATAGCTGAGCAGAAAGAACTGTCAGCCAATCAGGGGTCACCTGACAGCCAATCACCGACTGCCTACATCCTCCCTCTTTCTTCAGGTGCATGCTGTTCAAAGAGAACTGAAGTCTGTTTGCCATGGTGGCAATCCTTGTGGCTTTCACCATTCCCAATGCTGATGTGTTGATAGTGATTCTGCATTTGGACTTCTTCCAATTATAACAGCCTGGTGCTGGGATCTCAGATCTTTATGAGCCTTGCTGGCGCGGTGGTCAGAATACAGTATTGCGGGCAAACTCTGCCCACAACCTGGGAGTTCGATCCTGATGGGGCTCAAGGTTGACTCAGCCTTCTATCTTTTCAAGGTTGGTAAAATGAGAACCCAGGTTGTTGGGGGCAATATGCTGATATTGTAAAATGCCTAGTGTGTTCTGTAAAGCACTATGGGTAGTATATAAATCTAAGTGCTATTGCTATGAGAAGATAAGAAGCTGGTAGAGCCAAGAATATCCGTCCAATAGAGCCAGGCTATCCTGAAGCAGCAACACTATCTTTTTCTGAAGTTGAATTTGTTGCCTTGAAACAGCAATTCTGTATCCATGGCTATAAGTGATGTCACCGATATAGAAACAAAGGTGGACTTTCTTTTTATGTGGACTTTCACATTTCTGCGATTGCTAAACAGTGGCCAAATGTCAGTATATTTACATGTCAATTTTTACATATTCATAACTAATTTATGCACTTGCAAAATATGGGTGCACTTTTACACTTTCATAATCCCCTTTTTTTGTTGGTGCTCTACACGAGGGCCAAATATTAGCCCAACTTTTAAGCTTGCATAAAGACTTTTCTATCATCACATGCAGAAATATTATAGCTGAAGAGGTGAACTCACCTTAGATTCCCATTCAGTTATAGGGGCATTAAGTTGTTTGGCATTTAAGCCACAAGCAATATATGGTTTGGGATATTTTTCTGACCAGCCTTCCCTGGTGCAATTACGATACATAAACCCTGTATTGCAACAAGAACAGGAAAAGCCCACAAATTAAGTACTGAACTATAAATAAGAAGAAAATGTAGTTTTCAATATACAATCAAAACTATTTGATTTTATTGTTAAATTAAAGCAAATATTGATTACTGTAATGTAATGAAAAGGTCTAGCATGACTTCCCATTTCTTTTGCTAAGGAAATTATTTTCTTAAAAAGAATCTATTTTATTTTTTTAGATAGAAAGCGAGGGTTAAAACCAAGATACACACAAGGCCATGCAGAAGGTTCACAGGTGTGCTGTGATCAGCATTGATTGGGTTAATAGGTCATGCATGGGACATGGGGAAGGGGAGCCAGGGTAAACAAGAGGCAAATTACAAAATATGTGGCACAGGACGCAAATATAAAAGGGCCAATTTTGCATTGTGATGCCACCATGCATATTTTATCATTTTGTTATATCGTACTTTATTAATTGATTTGATTCTTTTTCTTAGTTTTTATTGTTTGAAAGGTGGTTTTATATTCTGTGAGCCGTCTCGAGTTGCCATGGGTAAATAGGAGGCAATAGAAATTCAATAAACAAACAAACAAACAAATAAATAAAATTTCTTGAATCGTCACGGTTTATACCCAATGTCTCTGAGAGCGTATTGATGTTTTATTGAATGGATCATTATTAACTAAGTTTCTACAGTGCATTATGTGAGCAGTAGGTGAACTTCTTGTTCATTTCATAAGAACATCAAGCAAGCCTGATAAACAGAATCAAGGATCCATCTAATGCACTATCCCCTTTTTCAGGGTGGCCCCAGTAAATTCTTTTGAGAAGGCATTTCTTCATGCTGTCCTTCTGAGAATCATCATATGAAGGCCACAGCTTCCCTCCAATGTAAGCTCTTCATCAACTGGAATAAGTTATTCCTCCTGACCATCATGGTTAATACACATTGATGAGTTTATCTTCATCAATATAACTGTCTAGATAAGCGGTCCCCAACCTTTCTTGGTCCATGGACCAGAAGTGGCAATAGGTGTGTTTGGGTGAGGGGATGGTTTCATGCACACAATCTAATCCCATGCACGCACAGATGGAGTTTGTGCCCTTGCACAGACCAGTTTGCAACCACTTGCCACTTGCACAGACCAGTTTTCAATGAGCCATGAATTGATAGTGGTCCACAGATCAGCAATTGGGGACCCCTGGTCTAGACAATTATCAAGAGTCACTTTGAGTCTTGTAGGAAATAAATAAGGAAGGAAGGAAGCAAATTCTTAGACCTGTTACTGTTTTGCTTTTTCAATGCAACTCTCAGAGCTCAACCTACAATGTTTTGGTGCCCAAAATGAGCAATTATGGTGTCCTGGGCTTCGGGGATGAGAAACAGACGGAATTCTTCATTTAAGAAAGAAGTCGGTCCAATACAGTTTGAAAAGTAGCCTAACTCCTTCAGCTCCTAAAGCATAAAGCAACTCCCAGATCAGTGGAGGGATTCAAATTTTTTTACTACCGTTTCTGTGGGCTTGGCTTGGTGGGCGTGATGTGGCTTGGTGGGACGTGGCAGGGGAAGGTTACTGCAAAATCCCATTCCCTCCCCACCCACCTAACCTGCTTTCCAGCTCCATTCTCCCATGAAGGCAACAAAAGAAGACCCAGCCAATCAGCTGGGACTCAGGAGGCAGAAAATAGATGGGTGTGGGGCCAGTCAGAGTTGATATTCTAAACTACTCAAAATTTCTACTACTGGTTCTCCAGAACTGGTCAGAACCTGCTGAATACTATCTCTGTCCCAGATCCTCTGAAAAGATGTGTGGCCATTAAATCATGGTTTTCATGTTACCTGTTTGTCCGGTAACTATTTGAAAGGCTCGGGGACAGGGTGCACTAACAGTTTGTCCGACGGGAGAAGACAGCCAACAGGTAAGATTATCCCACATGCCAAGGCATCCGCCTAAGGTGCAAGAACAAAAACACATCCAAATAGTAAATGAATCCCACAGAGGGAAGGGAAAAAAATTGTGTCACGATCCAGACGCTGTGCTTGCAACAACCCATGTGAGGAAAATCAACCTTTAGCACTGAAGATGTTACCTGGTTGAGTAATAAAATGCCTACAAGAAAACAACCAAGCTCAGAGCATCAAGGGCCCCTCATTTCAGCCCTAAGTTACACATATTCTCCTTTATTGGTAAATCAATCTCTGTGAAGCAGAGTAGAAGTGAGCAATAGCCCCACACAATAGCCTCTTTTTTTTTCTGATGCCACAAGTATTTTACAGCTTATAAAAATATACTACAGAGTTCCTCCTATTTATCCTGCGTCTCACACAATGCACTTGCTGTAATTTCAATCAGCTATGCCTGCATTATAAATAAACCAAACAACATAGGTTTTGGCAGTCTACCAGCCTCCATTAACTAATGCCAGTAATCACAAATCATGCCATCCCAGGAGTCTTTATTAATGGATTGCTGAGTGTGCTAAGAAGGAGGGGAAAGGTGGATTGGTCACCTTATCTTCTATCAAAGGTCTACCTTTCACTTTGGTGTTCAGAGCTGTGTGAGATTACTACGGGAGGGCAAGGAGCAAACATATACTCTAAAAGCAGACACAAGTTGGACAGATATTTCTAACTTCAAGGTGTTGATTAATAAGGCATGCAAGGCCATTCTTTTGTTTAGACAAGGGCTGACTAGGTCAATGAAACCTAATTAATTAAAACCAGGAAGAAGTGCATTCCTATTAGTCTTCAATCAACCATTGTTCCAGAAACCTCTTTCTCAGGAGGCAGCTCTATTGCTAATCCTCCTGAATATTTAAGCCTACTTCATCATGTGATGCTAGCATGATAAAAAGGGACATAAAATCCACCAAACGGATCACTCTTTTTACACAAGGGTTAATTATATACTAATTCTTTTGGTACTGTCACTCTCTTGAGGGAGCTGGGCAGTATGCTTTCCACTGTTCAGAAGAAATACAAAAATTGCAAAGTCATCATAATATTTAAATATTTATTTTCTTGTATCCAATGCAATTACTGTGATAGTTCAAAATTGTGGTATCAGTGGAAGGTTTTAGAGATTTCAGCAAGTTAGAGTAGAGATTTTGGCAAAGAGGCTATTCCCAATATTGATTTTTGAAACTTAATCTCAACTCTTGTTCTTCAATGCACAAATTGACACACCGAGAGCCTATCCTAGAATGGTAAGACATTGTGATTTGGAATTCTTTCATGTTCATACCCGACACACCCCTGCTCCTACAAGAGATGTAGACATCAGAAATGTAGGCTAGATCTATACAACACACCATGATTTTCTGGATTCACAGGACATGCTGAACCATAAACAAACCATAAATTAGCTGAACCATAGCTTACCCAAGTTATACAAGCCTATCCTTAGTGCTAATCTTTAGTTTGAATAGGCAGCTGCGCTGATCCCAAAAGAGTCGTGTGTACGTGTGTGTGTGTGTGTGTGTGTGTGTGTAAAACTAGACACAAAGACGGTGTGTGTGTGTATGCGTGTATATATATATATATATATATATACACACACACACACACACACATACATACATGTGTGTGTGTGTGAGTGTGCGAGAGAGAGAGAGAGAGAGAGAAAGAGAAAGAGAGGTGGAGGCAAAGAGACACACAGAGAGGGAGAGGATCCTAATGTGACATTAATTAACAGTTTAACCTTCCAGCTTCTCTATGGGATATTCTTCCCTGATCAGTATAGCTACAGAATTAATTGCAAATTAGTGTTTGGTTCCCTCTTAATTAATCTTTATTCTGTATATGGGATTATTCTGATCTTTCCTTTTTCCTTTCTGATAATCCTCCACTTCCAGAGTTCTTTAGAAAAATGAAAACATAGACAAAAAGAAAGAGAACTATGGAGTAAATCACCATTTCTAAATTTGCAACATAAACTGTTTAATTAAAAGGTGTAAGGGGCACCTTATCACTAATCATTCAACTAAATCAAACAGGAGTAATATCATCACAAAACTTGCAAATAAGTAATCATATTTTGGCTACAACTTGGAATACAAGTTGCTTATTGAATACCCCAGTTTGGGGGGAAATAAAGGCTGAGTAAAAATCCTGTGCACAGGACCCCAAAATGCTGTGTTTGGATGGTTGTAGAAGAGACCCTGACAAAATAACAGATTATGAAGCAACTAAATACAATAGCTCAAAATTGGGAAAGAAGTGCACCAAGGCTACATAATGTCACCTTACTTATTTAACCTGCATGCAGAAGATATGAGAAAAAAAATAGAAATTGGAATTTAAAGCACAGGGAGAAATATCAACGACCTCAAAGAGATCTGCAAATGCGAAAGACTTAAGGAATCTTTTGTTGAAACTGCAAGAAGAGAATAGCAAAGCCAGTTTGCCGATGAATATTAAAACAATACCAAAATAATGTCAGCAGATAACATGAACTAGTGTAAATAAGCAAAGAAAAAGTTAAGTAGTAAAAGTTTATCTTATAGTCTCATAAATTCACCAAGAGATGTTGACTATAACTGTAAAATAAAAAGATTTTGATTCTTGGAAGAAAATCTAGACAATACACAGACACACAGACTAAGCTGTACCTTAGACAAGATTTTAATGTGTAGAGATTTTATGCTGATAACTAAGATACATATTGTCAAAGCCAGAGATTTCCAGTTATAAATGAAAGACTAGAAGACCCAAAATATGGAAATTTCTCTTGAGAGCTTTGAATTGCCAAAAGTAAAACTTTATTGGATACACCATTTTGGTACTGAAGAATCAAAACCAGTTCTGGTTTTCCCGTGCAAATTTTTGCTTAGTTAAACAATAGGGAATTGTTCAATCTGGCATTGAAGTTCACAATTCTTAAAGTTGCCAAGTTGGGGAACCCTGATCTAAATGGCCCCAATTCATACTCTGGGACATACCTGCACTCCTCAATAATTCATTTCCAGCTGTTTTGTTTGCTTCTTCCTGGGCAAGTGCCGAGGTACACAGTTCTTCTTCCATCCTCATGATTTTTTTGATTTCACATGATGAAATAAAAGCTCCAATCTGCTGTATTAAAAAGTATCATTTAATCACTCTTTCGTTATGCTGATTACAAAATACTGCAGCTAGGTCCTTTTTTTATATAGTTACAATTACAGCATTTTAAAATAACACAGTGACTTGTTTTTTAACAAATCCATAACAGTTCTGAAAAGAACTGTTCAAACTTAAGGACAAAATGGTCAGCTAGATTGCAATGTAGATAGATTATTATTATTATTTTAAAAAAAGAATGCCTTTCTCAGGTTGTTTCACGTTACACCTAATTCTAATCAATGAATCACATAATTCCAGATGAGGCTTATTACACAATCAGTCAAAACCATGATGAGGTTATTCCATCATGGTTGTCATAGCCATATACTTCCAACTGGGAAGGTAGAAAAGTGACCCCCCAAAAATACATTCTTATATCATGATGTAAATGCTTAAAATTCTGGTCATTATGTTGTGACATCATAATGCAACATGTTGTGACACCACAACCTTCCTTTGTGTCTTTTTGCCCTCTTGGCCTGTAATAGTCATCCCCTGTCGAGGTCTCTTTGTATTCTTCCAACCTTTTTTGCTTAATACAAACAGTGTACAACATAATCTAGATTGAAAATTATTTACTCATCAGCTCTGAAAGTGCCACTGTTTCTCTGTGCCTGCACAATTTAAGCGCTAGCAGTGGGGTTAAGACTGTAAATTGTATATTGCTAGTAGGAAGATCCTGGGCAACCTTTTGCAATTCCAAACAAGCAGCCCCATGAGATTTACAACATTCTTGGCGACTGCCTTATATGGTGGTAAAGCATACTTGGGTTTGCAGTTCAGTTTATGCAAGCCTGATTTACATCAACCCTGCCTAGTACACAAGAAATATCTATCACTATAAGTGTAGCTGGGCTAATCTACTTTCACACATTGTTAAAAAAAAAGTAATATCACCATTATTAGGCCCTGAGTCCGCTTCTTCTATTAAAATCAATTACATATATAAATGAGAAAGTTTTATGCAATAGATACCCCAGAACTGATGATAACTTAGTTTATCTTGACACATTACCTCCTGCAAGGGATTGTTGAATGCTGAATGCCCACGAGGCTATGTCTCACTCAGCCATTCTTCATACAGTTTTCTATTCCTTTTCTTAAAATACTTTTGAAATTCTAATTCACATGCCAGTTTATGCTACAGTAAAATGATTGCCTTTTAAATCAGATTTCTTAATCCATCTATTCCCCTCTCTACCTGGATGGGATTAGGTCCAGCTAGATACTAGCCAAAAACCAAAAGGAAAGAAGAAAAGGTTCATAAAGAGCAACTGTAGACACAAGGGGGAAAGCATAGGACATTTGGAACATCAAACATGTGCAATTTCTCTATCAAGGAATTACAAAGTTTATTGCATAGCTATATCCAAATCAAGATTTAATTTATAGAGCATTTCTTTTTGTGTATGCAATGATCCATTGGTTATACATTAGGAAGACCTTCTATTTATGCAGCTGAATCATTTCTTTGAGTAAGAGCTGTGAGTCTTATTGGAATTAAGCTTGAGCTTTAATTCATTAAACCTTTTAGAATATGGCTGTAACTCAATCAAAAACATTTCAACTTGATTAACCTAACGTTATGGTTAAGTAACTATACAGGTAGATGTTGCAGTCAGATGCATGGCATCTGCATTAGGTATGTCACACAGAAAGCAAAGATTTCCATAAGTTTGCCATAAGAAGACTGTCTTCAATCCTGGATAGGTAAGATATGAGGCCTCTAACTTCAGTGAAAACAGTCATTGAGGCTGTTTGCAAACTATTTAGGAAAGTTGTAAAACATAAGAAGTTATCTTTATTCCAGTCAAAACTAATTTGTCCACCAAACCAGTACTGTATTTTCAATTCTGACAGGCAATTGTTTGCTGTGTTCTTAGGAAATGATCTTTATTTTCTCCTGTTCTTTCTGAAAAGAGATGCTAGAAATTCAGCCAACATAGAATGGATATCCAATTTTTGAGAAGTCACACTTGGATTTTTCAGGCTTTGCTAAGGCAAAGGTAAAATAGGAGTATCCAACGAAAAACCTCTTATTTATAAATACAAGCTAGGCAGATATGACCTCGTCGACGACCCTCACTCTGTCAAAGACCTTGGAGTTCTCATATCGAATGATCTAAGCACCAGAGCTCACTGCAACAACATTGCAAAAAAAGGCTTTAAGAGTTGTAAATCTGATCTTACGAAGCTTCTCCTCTGGTAATACTGATTTCCAAACTATGGCATACATAACCTTTGCTAGACCAATACTTGAATACAGCTCCGCTGTCTGGAATACGCACTGTATATCAGACATTAATGCAATTGAGCGAGTCCAGAAGTATTTTACAAGAAGAATACTATATTCCTCTGTTTGCAACAGAATACCCTACTACACCACCAGACTTGAGATTCTAGGCTTAGACAACCTTGAACTACGCTGGCAAAGATTGGACGTAAGCATAGTACATAAAATCATATGTTACAATGTCTTACCAGTTAATGAATATATCAGCTTTAACCACAACAACACAAGAGCACACAACAGATATAAACTAAATGTAAACCATTCCAAACTTGATTGCAGGAAGTACAATTTCAGCAACAGAGTGGTCAATGTCTGGAACTCACTACCAGATTCTGTTGTCACCTGCTCAAACCCCCACTCCTTTACCCTCAAACTAACCTCTATTGACCTCACCCCATTCCTAAGAGGCCTGTAAGGGGCATGCATAAGCGCACAATCGTGCCTACCGTCCCTGTCCTATTGTCCCCAATTATTAGTTCCTATTTCATATATTTAAACTTATGTTTATTCTTATTTCTATTATATTCTAAGTGTTTGACTAAATAAATAAATAAATAATTTTGCTTTAACTGCATCCACTTTTTGATGGTGATTTCTCCACTCCCATCCATCTTTTCACTTTGTCTTAAAATGACATTTAATTTGATTTACTTACCAGTAATCACAAGGAGTTGAGGAGGGATATACAGGAAATATTGAGAGCTTGATGCATCTTGAAGATATGCAATGATATCAACCTCCAGCTGGGAACCGGAGCTTCAATTTCTCATATGGTCAGATGGGATGATGGGAGTTATATGTTAACCCTATCTGAAAGATCATAGGTTTCTTACTTGTAATTTACCAATTGGCCTAACCTTATCCATGTTGGTGGGACAATGACAAGGCTCCAAATAAAAGGGAAGGTTTCTATTTGAGGAAGTTTCTTTAATCACTATACTATACCAAAGACAGGGTAGCAACTTCAGTTGCCTAATGTTGCCTAATATTGATGGACATTAAAGCAAGCTGTCTGTCATACACAGAGAGCATCACATTTATGCAAGAGGGGTTTTTTCTTTCTTTTTCCTAAATGGCAGATGTTGTATAAAAATTGATAAGCATTATTTTGGAAAAAGAAATGTACGACAGAAGGCATCAAGTGTGAAACTTAGCGGCACCATATCAGATCTGAATTGTAACTTCTGGAAGATCACTCGGTGGAAAGAAAGAAAGACAGACAGACAGAATGCTCTTTTCATTCTAATGGATTGCCCAGATTTTTGCAGCCTAGATCCAGTAGCCCTGATGAAGCTTGATCCTTATAACCATAACCATCAGAAATACAGCACAGTAAGTTAAAATTCTTCTATTTCAACTTGCAGAAGTAAATCATAATTGCCTGAGATTAAGTCAGGACTGGCAACAGGTTTCACCCCAAGTTGTATTCTGCCTTTCAAGAACAAAGCAAGACTTTTTACCTCACCTTAGAGCAGAGGTCCCCAAATTTGGCAACTGTAAGACTTGTGGACTTCCAACTCCCAGAATTCTATGCTGGAGAATTCTGGGAGTTGAAGTCCAGAAGTCTTAAAGTTGCCAAGTTTGGAGACCTCTGCCTTCGAGGATGTACCGGTAAATATGTCAGAATAAGTAAACATCACATACTGTTTCCTAAAGTGATTCAAGGGCTTGGTTTCCATGCCTGACATTCTAAATACCAAGTGATGATTTATAAATGTGTGTGAAATAAGTTGCCTGAAAAAGGGAAAAGCATGAAACAGTGCTGCTCCTACAGTTACTCAGTCAGTAACTCATCAATCTTGCAGTAGGTATGGATAGCACATTCTTATCACAAGATAGTATCACAATTGCTGCACCTGCTTATGTGTACAATACGGGGAGGGGGAAGGAGGGGGAGAAGTATAGAGGAAACCATAATGTGGTGGAATGTGATGAACACTCTGCAAAAGATTTTGCGCTTCCTTGGTTACTGTCCTCTAAATGTTTTTGATCAGAGGTGGTATTGAGCAGGTTCTGACCAGTTTTGGAGAGCCGGTAGTGGAAATTTTGAGTAAGTCGGAGAACTGGCAAATACCACCTCTGACTGGGGATTTTACAATATCCTCCCCTGCCACGCCCACAGAACCGGTAGTAAAAAAATTTGAATCCCACCACTATTTTGGATGTCAACTTATCATCCCAAGCTATCATGGCTTTTTGCTGGAAAATTAGAAGACTTCTTGGAGGGTACCAGGTTAGGATGATCAGCCCTTCTCTCCTTGGGTTCTGCAACAGGTCGTGACTAAAAACAACCAAACATCCCTTTTTAAATGCTGCATACCACTCAATGCTAGCACTGGCAATGGTGAGAATTTCTATGCACAACTCAGTTTATTAATCACCCTGTGCTATATAGATATATAATACGTTTTAACTTAAGGAAGGGATCCCTGAGATATGAAAATTATTTCAAGAGGTCTCAAGGGTAAAAAAAAAAACCTGAGAAAGACTGATCTAGACAGTCGTTCTATATTGTAGCTCTTATTAGTGTCCCAAATGTGCTTTTTTCAATAGGCAACGGGGCTTTCTGGTTTTTCTTTGAAAACGTTTCGCTTCCCATCCAAGAAACTTCTTCAGCTCTGACTGGATGGTGGGGAATGGAAGGATTTATACCACTTGCAGACAGCTGGTCTCCAGGTGGCCGCTAAAAGAATGCAAATGTAAGTAGGGTTTCCTGTGAGGGGAGGGGGTTGGACTAGATGACCTACAAGGTCCCTTCCAACTCTGCTATTCCATTAAAGTGTTCTAAAAGTAAGCATTCTGACCTCCTGACAAGCCAAGTCAATGGGGAAGCCAGATTCCCTTAACAGCTGTTACTCACTTAACAACGGCTGTGATTCACTTAACAACTGTAGCAAGAAAGATCATAAAATGGGGCAAAACTCACTTAACTACCATCTCAGTTAGCAATAAAAAAATTGTGCTCAGTTATGGACATAAGTCGAGGACGTCCAAAATCATCACTGTTACTGTACTAGATATCCCCAGGAAAAGTAACCAAAATATATAGCTTCCCAGGGTCTTCATGAAATGAGTTGAGTAATCAATCACTCCTCTTTTTTTTCCAGAAGAAATGCAACAAGGACAGATTTGCAACACTTCCTCTATAACTGCAAGGGATTATTTCGTTTAGAGGCAAAGTATGGATGTCTCAGTGCAGTCGCTTTTTTTGAATTGAAAAAAGCAATGTGATGCTGAATTTAATTTAATTTGGGCTATAATCTTGCACAGGGACTTGTATCGCATCTGAAGCTCAGCTTAGATATTGTCTGAGAATAATAATAAACACTCTTAGATTAGAAACTGCTTTGATTAATAATTGTTAGTATTTTGGTTGCCTTTGCTTAATATTTTTTTTTATGGCTTTAATTTTTTTCTATTTCTTTTTTTAATTTTAATTATAAGAATACAACACTGTGTATCCGTTCTGACATTACAATTGTTATACATATATAAATTTTACTTCACCATTTACAATCCTCTTCACACATTGTTTAGTCATTATTCTAATCATCATAGCTACTTATAATCAATATTGACTTGATTTAACAATAAATTTAAAATACTAAGGTCACCTTTATATACAATACTAATGTAATATTACTTTGAAAATTCTTGTTTAATTTTATTTGGCTTGGAAATCTTTTCTCCGTGTCTTATCTGTCTGTCTGTCTATATCTACACAGTATACACACACTGAGAGACACTGATTTATGACAATTGAGCCCAAAATTTCTGTTGCTAAACAAGACAGTTGTTAAGTGAGTTTCGCTCCATTTTATGACCTTTCTTTGCCACAGTTGTTAAGTGAATCATTGAAGTTGTTAAGTTAGTAACACGGGGTTATAAAGTGAATCTAGTTTCTCCATTGACTTTGCTTGACCGAAGGTCTCAAAGGGGATTCCATGACACTGCAATTGACATAAATATGAGTTAGTTGCCAACTGTCTAAATTTTAATCACCAGTGCTGCAATAGTTGTAAGTGTCAAAAACAGTCATAAGCCAACCTTTTTAGTGCCATTGTAACTTCAAATGGTCACTAAATGAACAGTTTATAAGTTGAGGGGCTACCTGTATACACGCATTTATACATACATGCCCACTCTTTTCTTTCGTTTTTTCCTTCTTCTTGGTTGCACTTCAAATTGTGTGTGTGTGTGTGAGAGAGAGAGAGAGAGAGAGAGAGAGAGAGGGAGGGAGGGAGGGAGGGAGGGAGGGAGAGAGAGAGCGAGAGCCGCTGGGCAGGTGATTCTCCACAGGAGAAGCCTTCTGTCTTGTTTCAGTTCCTGGCATTTTGCTCTCCCAAGAAGCAAAGTCACAATGCCACTTTGTCAATGGGATCATTTTGCAAACAGGACAAAATTGTGGAAGTTAACATCTTAGACAGAACCACAGTGCCACATTACAACTTTGTTGCAGCTTATGCAGGAGTAAGGCACAATTACAGTCATAGATTTTGTAAATAATGTTGATTGTACCTGAACAGAAAAGTCACAGATGACTTCTGCTACTTATTATTTATCCAATACTATCATAGCAAAACAAAACAAATTATCTGTCATTTAAAACTTATAAAAATAAATGCAATATTTTATTCAATTCATTTTTATTTCCATTTACCATTTAGCTTCCTTTAAGTGATAACCCTCTGTGAATAGAAAAAATTCAAAATAAACAATAAATTTATAAACCGAATAATTACAACTTTATATAAATGTTTACATATTCATCTTTTTATTATTAGAAACATAATAATTTCTATTTATTTATACCATTATTTGCAGTCTCACCTGACAACTATTCATATTTTAATATGTGCTTGATTATTTGTTTCATCTCTATATTTTGGGCCTCAGTTTAAACCATACTAAGCAATATTTAAACACAAGGAGCAAGAAATAACCTTTTAATCAGACATACATTAGCACAGTTCTTACTTTTAGAGTGAAATTAGTGTATCAATTATAATAAATTATTATACAGAACACAGTAAAATATTTATGTTTGACTAGCAACTGGCTTTATTTTCTCCTTGACAATCCAGCAAATTGCTGTCATAAATTATATTTTTACAGACTGCATAACAAGCTGATTATTCTGTGACTATAATGCACAGCGCTTGTGCGTTTTGGTCTCTGAAGCACAACCAGACAGAGTTTATGCAACCTACACATTTTAATTTTGATCAGGGCAGAGTGGAGTCTCCAAAGTTCATTCTCATATTTTTTAATAATCCTACTGAAAGAGTTCTAAGATATTTTAAACAACTCCAGACCCTGGAGTCCCCACCTCACCCCATTTTACTTCGCAATCCTATATAGATACTGGCTCAGAAGCAAATGCCATTGGATTTTAAAGAAGTTGTTCTGTATACTGGACTGCTCCAATCTCTCTCTCCCATATTTTTCTTCTTCTCCCTTTAAGTGGGTGGACAGAGACATTTGGCTTCCTTGCTACCAAATACAGTATTCCCCTGATCAGTTACAGTCCTTACCGTTAGCTCCAGAGATGTGAAGACAATTAACCTAAAAACCCACATGGCTGGTGCTTGTTTCTTCCCTTCACTCCTTGCACACAGATCAAAAGTTACCTCCATGGGTTCCTAGGTGTTCTTCCCTCTCTCCCAGATAATGTGGCTTTCTGCATCTTGCCAGTGCTGTTATATCTGTCCCTGAATACAGCAGGATGCTTCACCTCCAGTCACAAGCTGTGTTAGGGTTTGTGCAGTCGAGATATTTCCACCTCTCTCTTCCATTACTCACTGTTATCACCCCATGTCAAGTTGAAAGATCAATCCTTTGTGTTCCCATGGATAAGGGAACAAGTCTGGTTATGGGACAACTGCATTCGTTTCACCAAACCAAAGATAAATCTGTCAAGGCATGGAAAATAACAAAAATTGTTCCAGAACCTGGAAGGAATAAAGTGGCGGCACAAACCAATTTCTGGCAGAAGAAAAGCCGCTATCCATGGGGTGATTCAGCTAGGCTGAAACATTCTGCTAGTGTTTGCCCTGTGCAAACTGCATTTCCCAGGAGCACAGATACTCAGAGAGTATCTTTGACAGACAAAAATGTATGTTCCATCTCACAGGATGGCTGTTGGTTGAATGGAGTAGTAGGCACTCTTTCCTCCTTACTTGGGCAGAAAGCAACATCAGTACAAAGCCATCTGTGACAACTATAAAATTGCATCTATACCAATATGATTCTTTAAACAAAAGGGAAAGACAAGACATACATTTCATAGATGCACACCACGAAACTTTTGAATAACTGCAGGTTATATTGATGTGGAATGTGGATGGATGAATGGAAGAATAGAAGAGAGAGAGGGGGAGGGGAGGAAGGGGAGGGAGAGAGAGAGAAAGAGAGAGAGAGAGAGAGAGCAGAACTCAAAGTTACAACAAGTTAATTTTCAGAAACAAAATGGTTCAGAAGAGGAAAGAAAGTAAGACAAGAACACATATTGTTTCATTTCTGTTTAACTTACACAGCAAATGCATCATATATATAGTGTGTTGGGATGAGATGAAACTGGAATAAAAGTTGAAAAGCTTCAAAACAATAAGAGTTTGTGGTATATAGATATTACCACTTGGTGCAAAGGACTTGGAAGTGCTTATTACAGAACAGAAAGTGTTGTAGTTTTCTTTTGTTGAGCTCAAGATAGATAAAGATGGACAGTGTGCTGGACAAGCATCTGGTCCAGTGTTGGGATTCAAATTTTTTTACTACCGGTTCTGTGGGTATGGCTTGATGGGCGTGGCAGGGGAAGGATACTGTAAAAACTCCAGTCAGAGGTGGTACTTGCTGGTTCTCCAAACTACTCAAAATTTCTGCTACCGATTCTCCAGAACTGGTCAGAACCTGCTGAATATCACCTCTGATCTGGTCCCATCTTCCCAGGGTGGAGTCGGGGCTGATGAAGCTGAGCAGATGCCCCTCTGGGCACTGGCCAGATGCCCTTCCCTGACACCACATGGCGCTCGCAGCAGAGGTTTTTTTTTATTTGCACCCTAGGGAGAGAAACATCTGCTGCTACCTAGGATTGAACTGAGAGCCTTCCCCACACAAGGCTTCACCGCTAGGCCACCACACCATCTCTTCCTGGCAAATAGAAGAGAAAGAAATGGAAGCAGTGACAGATTTTATTTCCTTGAGCTACAAGATCACTGCAGATGGTGACTGCGGCCATGAAATTAAAAGATCCTTGCTCTTGGGAGGAAAGCTATGGCAAATCTAGACAGCATATTCAAAAGCAGAGACATCACCTTGCCAACAAAAGTCTGTATAGTCAAAGTTATTGTTTTCCCAGTAGTAATGTATGACTGTGAGAGTTGGCCCATAAGTAAGGCTGAGCATCAAAGAATTTGATGCTTTCAAATTGTGGTGTTGGGGAAGACTCTTGAGAGTCCCTTGGGCTGCAAGGAGATTAAATTAGTCGATACTGCAGCTAACTTTGTAGGCTGTCTGTGTCCCAGGCTTGGTTGAATCTTGCTGGGTGATACAATGAAGGGGAATTTCCTATTGTGGCTGAATGGCTTTGCCCTGAAGGATAATCCCATCATCCTGGAGCTGAGATATTTTGTTTTGTAGAAAGACTGGCGCAGTCTTTCGTCTTGTAGATAAGCTGGCTCCAAAATATCTGCTGGGGGTAGGGAGCTGGGGTCTTTTGTTTCTGTTTCCTTTAAGATTTTTATTTCTCTTTTAGGGGAAATATTCTGTCTTTCTAATATTTCCTAGAATATTTCATTTTTCTAGGAGAGGGGTGGGTGCTAGCTTTCTACAGCATTCATTGCAGATAATGCTGTTTATCTTATCACAATGCTGTAGAAATGATAAAAATGAGCATAGTACATTTGCAAACCTGTAATTTCAGGGAACCTCAAAAGCTGGAACAGTTCCAAATGGTTTATTTAAACATTTATATCCTGCTTCCCCTCCACAGGCTTATTTGCAAAAAGATATAATCCAGACCTAGAAGCTGTTTCAATTGGAAGGAAGGTGTATCTTGGCAGGAATGGGAAATATGCAGCCTTTGCTGAGCTTCATCTTACAGCATTTCTTGACAGTGGGCTTACTAGCTGTAGCAGCTGCAAGCTGTGTTTTAAGAGTGCCATAAAGTCTCCACCATTGACACAGAGAACAATGGAATAAATCAAAAGATGGCAAGAAGAGGCTCCCCTCCCATGGAGAGCCTAAACTGAAGGAAGTAATCTGGTGCTGGAGGTCATGTCCTAATGCAAGGGTCTTCAAACTTGACAAGTTTAAGACTTGTGGATTTCAACTCCCAGAATTCCTGAGCTGACTGGAGGAGGAATTCTGGGAGTTGAAGTCCACAAGTCTTAAAGCTGTCAAGTTTGAAGACCGGTCCTAATGCTAAGCTACCATCTGGGTTGATTTGAAAATATATGCAGTGCAGGTAAGAATTGCACTGTATGTTTTTTAAAGGGAAAATCTTTAAATGAAGCTCAGAGCCCAGTGATTTCACAAACATGTCCTTAAAGGGATTTTGGAAATTGTACTAAAGCACTTTATTAGACTGTTTCAGTACAACTAGCCTACAGTCCTGGGATTTTCTAGTAGTCTTCTATCCTAGTGCTCTCAAGACCAGTTGTCAGTTATTTGCTGCTACCAAGCTGACCGACATAGGCTGTATTGACACATAGGTATCTATACAATATATAATACTGACTGCAAAATATGGATTACTGTATATATCCTTTTAAATATGTAGTCTTAGCAGCTAAAAATGTATCAGCGTATTTTTACAGTGACTGTGCTGGCACATTTATTCCTCTTCACTGTTTTATTTTTTGATATTTTCTTGGATATAGTTTTTTGGGAAACAGCTTTAAAGTCGAACCATATACATGATGTAGCTGAGATAATAAAGGCAACAGGAATGAGGGTGTTTAACCGTGTCCCTCTTTATTAATTCTACCCGCCCCATTTCCTCTTTCAAATTCAAATTAAAGTCTTGCAATCCCTTGGCCGTCTCGGCTAAATAATTAATTGCCGTTCATTAATTGCCACAACTTGCTGCTGATTAATTGCTAGTAATTAATTGTACAGCGCTGTCTCTGTTATTCAACTCCAACTCTTTTCTAAGAGTTGCAACGCAACCCTAACAAGCACAAAACAATTCTGCCTTCCACGACTGAGAAAGACGCCGTACGTTTTGTTCACCGTCCGTCAACATGTTGTATCTCTTCCCTCCCAGGGTTAGAGAATGGTACGGTCCAAAGCCCGCTTGGCGCTCTAGAATGTCGCAGTTGACAACTAGCATAGCAACCGAAGCTTTTGAGACGGGCGGGCGCGAAGTGGTTTGTTAGCTACAGATCGCACCTGGCTGGTTCACCGGCTCAGTCCTTCCTCTGTGGAAGGACCTCCGTTCCTGGTAGGTTCGCCGGTCCTTCCAAGCGAAGGACAAACTAAAACTGGGAAGGGCCGTGGAGGAGGTAATTGAGAGTTTCTTGGGTCCGCTGCAAATGCAAAGACTTTTCCGTCGGAGCAGCGCCTGCCCCCTTTGGTCTAGTAGTGGCTTCTTTCTGTTTTGCCTTAAGACTAAAAGTAACCACTTGCACATTTTACTACAGGTTCTTTGTCCACCTCACCAGAACGCTCTGCTTTAACTAGTCCCCTGGTCAAAGAATCATAGCTTTTAGAAGGGACCTTAGAGGTCTTCTAGTCCAACCTTCATCCCCGTATCCTCCTTAAGAGATGTATGTATGTCTGTATGTGTATGTATTATTCAACTCCAACTCTGTGTGTGTGTGTGAAAAACAGCTATGTGAAAAAGTCCTGCACGGTTTAAGGTTTATAACATTTTTTGGATAGGCCATTGATTTTATGATATTTTATGCTAACTGCTATGCAGGTACTGTTATATTTAAATAAATACTGGTGGTTTTAAGTGGAACACATAAGCTTTTTGCAATTTGGTGCTGTTTGGATGGGAATTGTGAATTTTCTTACATGCTTACAATGCATGCTTACAATGACTATGAAAACAGATTAACTGATGCATACCCAGTGGCATACGTGTTGCAATTACTAAGGCTGATGCTAGTGTTTTGTTAGCATTTTTATTGTTTTTGGCCCTGAAAAGGATCGTTTAGGTAACCAAACATGGTTACTAATATGAAATTGGCCAGCTCTTATTGCTTATCACCAGGTGGCATCGCTTAGGCAGAGACTGTATAAGCCTTTGCACATGATCTTTGGTGATAATGTGGTGCCAGGCTGCAATAATAGATTCAATCAGCTCCTGCTTGGTCTTCAAATATTTCTTGCTTATTTCATAACCAATCTTGACCCACAAGTTCTCAATTGGGTTTAAATCCAGGCTCTGAGCTGGCCAATCCAGGAGTCAAACACTATGCTTCTTTATCCACTGCTGGATGGACTTGGCTCAGTGACAAGGAGCGTTGTCATCCTGGAAGTAAAAGTCCTTCCCTACAAGTTGCTGAGCTGAAGGAAGCATAGTGTTTTCCAGGACTTCAGCATACTGCTTGGAATTCATGATTCCCTGCACGATTTGTATCCAACCAATACCAGAAGCAGCGATACAGCCCCAGATTATCACGTGCAATGGATGCTTCA